CTGCTGAAGCATCATTTACTGGTTTATTGCTCCCTTTGTACATGGAACTCGAACATAAAGTGTAACCCCAGACATTTAACTGATTGAGCTAGCTGGTTCTGGGGTGAGGCTCTTCCTTTTCCTCAGGTTTTCATGCTACGCTGTCGTGCCTTCCACTGCAGGAAAGCCTGAGAAAAAGAAAGGGAAAATGTCACCCCGGGATCAGCCAGCGCCGTCGGTTGAACCTTTTGCGTTCCTCTTTGGGGCGTAACTGCAGGAAATGGAATTTCCTCTGGATCTGTAGTGGTGTATTTTCATTTTTTTGCCTGCATGTTGGCAGATCTAGGACATAGGAGGCATCTTCCTTTAGCCTTAAATTGTCTTTTCCCATGCAGTGATGATCAGCACCCTTGTGCGAGAACCGTTGCCCTTTTAAATGCCTGCAAAGAAACAGATCCTTAGGGTGGAGGAAGGGAAACAAAAGAGTGATTCAGAGGACTTAGTGGTTCAATAGCACCCCTTGAAAAATGGTGATGTTGCACCTATTATTAAATGGGTTAGTAGTGCCAGCGCAATCTGATGTGTGAGCTGATGGGAAAGGGTTTTTATGATGCAGTAACTCAGGGGGTCCCGGCACGGTTTCAAGGACGGGGCTCTGTTTTGTCCTGCTGAGAACAAATGGACGCGCTTCTGGAGGAAGCTGCGCTGGTGCTGTATCACCCGTACGCTTAAACCATCCCAGTCGCAACTATATTGAAATACGGCCCATTGTGGAAAGGAGATTAATGCTGTAAATGCCAGGTTATCTTTCCACTTCAATAGATGCTGTCAAACACTTTTTAAGTAGCATTCAATTTTAATTTTTGTTAAGGTTTCCTTTCTGCCGCTCCCCACCATCAAACGTTTGTTTCAAAGCCTGCAAGTACCAGTGGCTCCCACCTGGGATGGCTCTGCACCGCGTAGCGGGAGGGGAGATTCTCCCCCACCTCCCGCTTCTATCCCTCCCTGTGCCGGGGCCGCGGCCCTCCCTGCCCCAGGAGCCACGGCGCGCTGAGCTGCCGGGGCCGAGCCGAGACGCGGTGGCGGTTTTGGCCGCGGTCGGTGCAGGAGCTGGGTGGGAACTAGGTTATCTTGTCCTTTAGGCACCTCCCTGAAGGCCCTGCTTTTTTGGAAGGCGTCTGCTTGGCAGCTTCGGCAGCGTGCACCTCTTTACGTGGGCCAAAATGAGCACCTGGGAAAAATGGACTTTCCAAGGCAGTTTTAAAAATTGTAGCCTAAAGCCCAGTCTGCCACTTTGTTCTATGGAAAAAAATTTTTTTTTTCAGTACATATTCACAGTGTTACTCTTTGCACGTTGGCCTTCTCCTGAGACTGCTGTCCACCAGGCAGCCGCCGACTCTTGCTCTTTCTTCTGCAACGTCCCCCCGCTCCAGCACCTTCTTTGCACCCAAAGGCGAAGCACTGCGGTCAGTTAAGAGCAGGAGGGGTTTTTCTAGCAGCTGCTTATTTCTGGAAAATTGGAAAAACAGCTGGTGGGGAATGCTCTCACTTTTTCCCCTGCCTGCCATTTGTTCCACTGTGATCTTAAGGAGAAAAAAAAAAAAGTGAAAAACCAAGGAGGTGCAGCCGCTGAAGGCTGCAGCTCCCCTCTCAGCGTACGAAGTCCTTACTCGTAGCGTGTCCGTTCGTTGCGCTTTTGTGCGGAATTGCAAAGAACGGGCAGGGAAGTCCAGATGCGGCACTTCCCTTTGATGCCGCTGTTCGAGTTGAGCTCGTTGCGCTGCTCCATGGTTGGCTTCGTCGTGCCCTTTGCGCACGTGGGATACAGCCTGTGTAAGGCCATCCCTCGCGCTTCCGGGAATCTGGTGCGCTGTCTCCAGCCCTTGCCTGGGCACGCTAAATATCCTGTTTTTCCACACGTGCCTTTTGGGAAAGTATTATCCTACCCCAGGTTATGGGGGTAGGGTTTCTTTACATTGGGAAGGAGGATGGGGCATCTACTTCTCTACAGGTATACTTGGGCATCTGAGGAAATTATCCCAAGCCTCATCCAGTTGCTGCCCCGACTACTAGGTTTGCCACCATGCAAAGAGTTTGACATCATCGAGCTAGTAAGAATTAATATTCAGTGGCAGCTAGAGCCCCAGTATCTTAAATTAAAGGGCTGATATAAATTTCAGTGGAAGTTATGCTTGTCCGGGGTCAGGTGCGGGGGGAGCAAAGATGCTGAGCAAATAGCAGAAAATGTCTTTCATTAATATTCATTTAGTTCCAAGTACCATTTGTTCAATTTACCCATGTTCACAGCCCTTGTGCATTTATTTTCATAAGCAGCAAGGTTCTTGAGTCTTTTGCACCCATACGCTTATAAGCAGTACATTTGTTACATAGCGTTTGCTTATATTTAATTTCTGATGGTAAGATTTGCTGATTGCAATGTATTTGGTCAGGTGTGTGAGTCATAAGGAATTGTTTATGCTCCTGAACTGGATGCCTTCTTCCCATTTAGCTGTGTGGTGCCACTGAAAAACGCCAAATTGGACAAAGACTTCAGTCTGCGCTGTTTTTCTTTACATGAGGCATTGACATGAACATTACATAGGTTACTTTGTGAATTGCAAGCTACATGCGGAATTTGCAATGCAAACCATTTGCACTCCTGGAATTATTTGCAGAAGAAATTAATGAATAATTCCGAGTTAAAAATAAATTGGTGTGTTTAGCAATCTTTGTTCAAGGGCAGGCAGTAAAGATGAAATTCTCTGAATAATTATTGTGATTTACTTGGCTCTAGAGCGATCTGAGATTTTTTCCTCTTCTATGGTTGACCTAATTCCATTGAAGTCACCAAGATGTTTTCTCTTAGCATCCCAGAAGATGCAGGTCATGTTGCCTCATGTCAGCATACGTCAGTCGTGGCTCAGCATTCATGCAACAGAGTAACGCTGTGTGGGCACCTAAATCTCTGCGCGTTGATGAAAAATCTTTGTTTCCTATTGGGAGTAAGAAACTGGAGAAAGACGCATTTGTGGATGAATGGCTGGAACTGGCTCTGTGGGGCTTGGGGCTGGGGGAAAAGAGCTGGTTGTGATTTTACCCGTGCCTTTCCCTCTCTCGGAGAGGGAGGATCTGCTCTGATGCCTGCTGTGCTTAACGTGGAGAGGGCTATGGCCACGTTCATCCCCCCTGTAACGTTTGCTCTTCTTTCCTTTGTTCTCTTGCAGCCTATCAGCTCTTCAGATGTCAACCCCCAACCGTTGTTCCCAATGCCGAAATCATCACGGAGAACGAAGAATTTAACATAGGTAGCTTTTCACAGTCCTCTTCATCCTCCCCCCATCCACTTTCCCCACCCTGGCAAGGACCACAGGAGGACACGTGAATGTTCTCCAGAGGCTGGTGCCCCGTAGCTACTGATTCAGGAGACTTGAAGAAGACACATTTAATTCTTTATGGCATGGGAAGGCATGTGTGACCCTGCTTAATATCTGACTTACCCACTGAATCAAAGTGCGTACCTGGAAAGTGCAGATTATACTGGTCTGACTGTCCCTAGACAGCTTCTCCTTGTTAGTGCAGGCAAAGTGGTTTGTCTTCTGTGAAAGCCCAGAGCTTGTTCAGAAATAGTCAAGAGATCTTTGCCACAATAATGGTTTTGGGCCTTCCCATATTTCAGGTGTTTCGGATATGCATTGTGTGAAAGTGTAGAGGCTGTTACTTTTTTTGAGAGCCTTTCACCCATATTGACTGTGTTTATTGTATTTTTGTTGCTGTTCTGTTGCATCCACGTTGTAAGTGTGTCTCCGACCAGTGAAATAGCCTTTTTCTTTTTTTTTTTTTTTTTAAAGTACCTTTTCACACTGTCTCCTCTCTTTGAGGAAAAGTCTTCTCCTGAAATAGCTAGCATAAATCAGAACCGTTTCACTGGTATGAAGTTGTTTGCGCCAGCTGAGAAGCTAGCATGTATTTCAACCCTTTTTTTTTTTTTTCCCCCTGCACAGTCTGTATCATTTATATCACATACAAAGCCATCGCGATACCAGGGTTGTAGCGGAGAAGGAGCCAGGTGCAACAGTCCCAGGAGAGCACAGCACTGTCACTTGAAAGGTGTTGCTGTACCCGAGGAGGCAGCGAGTGTGGGTGGGATGACCTGTGAGGTGTAGACCTGCGCATCTGTTAAGTCCTCCAAAAAAGTCCAGAGTGGAATATAAATAGACCTGAAGCAATGAGGTGAATGTTGTTTTTACTTGCTGGTGATTTCATCTCATAAAATAGCTGAATTGTGCAGCTATTGTGCAGGACTCCAGCAAATCATGGATTTGAGTCTCTTTCTAAAACTAGTTAAGGAAGGACCTGCTGCCCCAGAGCCCAGTGGCAGAGATAGGATTTGAGACGTCTTTGCACCCTGTACTAACTTCTCTTCCCAGGGCATGTTTCAGCATTAATGAATTGATTCTTCTCCTTAGCTTAGAAAAGATCCTTCTTTTCTTCTTCTGCCTGTAGGTGATGTAGTGAGGTACAGATGCCTTCCTGGCTTTACCTTGACTGGAAATGAAATCCTGACCTGCAAGCTGGGCACTCATCTCCAGTTTGAAGGTCCTCCACCCACTTGCGAAGGTAATGCTTCAGGGGCTCGGCATGCCGACCAAAGCTTTCTTATCCAGAGACTGCTGCAAAGCTGTGGAAATGTAGTGGGGAAGGCAGCAAGCTGGATGGCAGCTGAGGGAGGGTTTCCCTTGCAGATACTGAGTCTTTGAGGTGAATTTGCAGACCTCCGGGGTCCCAGTAATGCAGAACCAGCAGGTGGGGCCTTGGGTGGAGGGTGCTCTGACCACGCTATGTTCAGGTGGCACTTGCAGGTCCTCCAGAATGAAAAGCCACTCCCGTAGGACTGGATGGCTATGGGGCATGAGGGACAGAGGAGAAGCAGGGTTTGCATCTGGGGCAACTGCTCCCAGCCCTGCCTTTTGCTGTGCCAGCCAGAGCATGAGGCAGGGGGGTGGTTTCCCAGCCAGCTCAGCTTGCACGACCCCTGTTTCACTGCTGGAAGGTGCGAGTAGCCAAACCGAGCTGCTTCTGGCCCCCTCGGCGAGACACCTCAGTGAGGGGAACGGCTGTTCTCCTCGCCTGCCTCGCTTCCCGTTCCGGCACCGTGCCCCTTGGCCAGGTTCAAGCAGCAGCAGGCAAAAAACAAGGAGAGGGATTTGCTGGGTGACTTATTGCAGCACCTCTCCAGTAAATGACAGGGGAAGGTCCCCCACAGCCCTGCTGGCTCCTGGGAGTTTGAGGGCTCTCCAAGCCGTCCAGGAGGATTTGTCTTGTGTTAGGTAATCCAGAGTTAGGCCCTAAGGACCCAATTCAGGAAAGCACTTTAAGGTTATAATTTCCTGAATTAGGACTGACTGAAAACTTGCTGAGCGGAGTTCTGGCGTACTGGACGCCTGACTGCGCTCATGAAGTCAATGAGCAGTCGTCCAGTCGTCCTTACCCTGGGAGCGGGGAGGAGAGCTGCTTCTCTGACAGTTTGCCAGTGATACATGAAGAGCCAAAGCAAGGAAGAGCAGACTGCAGCAATGTGAATTCCTCCGGAGAGGCAAGCCGGGGAGGAACAGCTTCTCTATTAGTGCCACAAAATGTATTAGATGGGAGAAAAATGAATGCCTCAAGCATGATGCATTGTGTACCTTGCTGCTGCTCAGAAGGGATCCCAAAGATGTTTCCATGCTGCCATGTTACCTTATTTATCCTCTAGATTCCTACTGGTACTTTTGCTCGCTCCAGCTGTGATTATTTCATCATCTTCTTTCCCTCCTATCTGAACATTTTTACCATATAATGGGATATTTTTCTGTAGCTTTATTCTTTTTGAAATAGCATGAACTGAAGGAGAGAAAGGGAGGTCATTCAATTATTTACTGATGGTTGTTAGCCTGGGGGTAAGGGACTGCTTAAATTACGTCTGGCCACCAATTTATAGAGGTCAAAAAATCACTGATGGGATTAAGGATTTGGAAAGAATACGCTGTTCTTTCTGGATAGTTCTGGCTGTTTTCTATTAATACAAGTACAGCATTTGCACTGGTTTTAGAGATAATTATGGATAAAAAAGATCCCTTTCCGTTTATGCTTTTTTGTTCGCTTTCTGTGTTAGCCTCCTCTTCTGGGGTGTTGCCACTGGCCTTCTGTTTATTTAGTGCTTTCAGCTGGGCTGAGTATTTCCAGAAGCTGAGTGGAATCTAGTGATTAGATCAAGGAATTGGAGTTTTTAGATCCTAGTTAACAACTCCATGGGTGACTTGGAAGAAGCCTGTAGTTCCGTGCCTTGTTTTACCCCCAGAGAATAAAGTTTCCAGGCCTTTGAGAGAGCGTTTTGGAACTTGAAAAGAGAACAGTTGCTTGGTTGTAATGCCGTTGATTTTGAAAGCCACATCAGCATAGAACTGAAACGATGCAAAGATGGTTGAACCAGCTTGTTCATATTGTTGCTTTTTTCCCCTCCTTTGGATGTGGCAATTGCTCAGATTCGTGGAAATGCAGCATGCTTCGTTCGGAGCCTAAATCAGGATTGGGGGATTCTCTGTGGAACCCCAAGGATCTAGGTGTCCACTGAAAGTAAGCAGACGGGAATTGTGCTCTATCTTGACCTAGTCGGTCAAGATAGACCTTGGCCATGGTGTTTTGTGCTTTCTTCCTTCCTCTGCAGAAAGGGAAGATTGATTTTCTGTTGTTTTTCCTTCACTTTCCCTGTAGTGCACTGCCCAATGAATGAGGTGATGACAGACTCCACCGGTGTGATCCTCAGCCAGAGCTTCCTGGGAAGTTACCCCCACTTTCAGACCTGTTCCTGGGTAGTGAAAGTAGAGCCTGGGTATAACATCTCCCTCACCATCGAGTACTTCCTGAGCGAGAAGCAATATGATGAGTTTGAAATCTTTGATGGTAAGAAAGTCACCAGGTTGCCTCATTTAACAACTGAGGGGAAAGGAAAGAAATAGCAGTGCTGTTAGTTGTTAATCTCTGTGTTCCCAGAGCACCGTGGGGAAAGCTTTTCAATAGCGCAATAGACCTGTAACCTTCTGCTGGACTGAAAGCAAGCTCCTCCTGAGACTCATTGATTTTCTGAATAAGAAAGCATCGGTGATTTGATTTTTGGATGACTCTGAAGTGTTTTTCCCTGGGGAAGGAGTTAGCAAGCTGGTGGAAGACTTGTGGTAGATGTTTCGGGGAAGGGACGAGTTGGTAAAGTGAGAATTTAATCCTTGAAGCCCGTGCAAACCAGGTTTCCTAGGCCCATGAGCTCTCAGGAACTGAGAGGTAACCTGTGAGCGTTCACAGTGATGTAGCTCTGCAACCAAATGCAGAATGCAGGTGCTCTGCGGATGCTCCTGAGGTTGCACCTTGTGACCTGAGCTGAAGGCATGCTGCCTGGAGCAAAATTCTGGTCTGACTGCAATTAATAGAGCTTTATTTGCAATTGGTTTCCTGGGAGCCAGGTGTACGCATGAGGACTCCTGTTCACAGAATGAAACCTGAGCATGAGCTGTCATTCTTAGGCTTAGAGTGGAGCGGAAGCTCCTGCGCTGCAGTTTGAAAATGTGTCTGTTCCTTCTGCAGGAACACATCTTGGCACACAAAGCCCAAGAGTGACTGTTGTTCTGTGTCAGCCCTGACTTTCACTCGTTCCATCCTTTCTTAAAGGTCCCTCTGGCCAGAGTCCATTGCTCTTGTCACTGAGTGGGAACTACTCTGCTCCGTTAACTGTTACCAGCAGTGGGAACAAAGTCTATCTCCGTTGGTCTTCTGATCATGTCTACAATAGAAAAGGCTTCAAAATCCGCTACTTTGGTAAGTACGCGGCAGAGACCAGATGCCTCCGCCAAGAACATGGCCATCTCTTCAGCTAAGAATTGCTGTGAAATTGCTACAGAGGGGCATAGGCCATCTGTGTCAGGAGAAGGTGCCAAGCTGGCCTCCTTCTGAGATCTCCGCAAGAACTGCCGAGGCTTCAGGAAGTAGGTTTATTTCCAGCAGAAAACTTAAAGCTTTGGCTGGGTTTCCTTGACCGGTCTCAGGAACCAGAACCAGAATAGCTTTACGCAGCCATAGACAGACTGGCTCTGCGTGAATGATACCCATCACTGTGCAGGCTGTGATGCCTGCACAGCTAAGGGAGTCCTACTCTTGGATTGTCTGAGCAGCATAGTTTTTTGCCGGCTGTTGGCTTAGGAGTGAAGTATTGATTTAGCCCGTTTATTCCAGCTTCAGGCCTTCAGAAAGTGCTCTGCTGATTGTAATTCACAGTGAAGATTGCCATGTTACTAAATGATTGTGTCCTTGCAGTGATGAGACCCGTTAGAGATGTTCAGTGATTAACGTCGTGAAACACAAGAACTTGAGATAGGAGCTGCTTGCTGCGTGAGGCACAACTTACACGTGGCTTGTTGTGTTACAGCACTTGCAGGGAACTGCCTAAAACACATCCTGCTCCTGGTCAGGCATTCTGCCGCGCTCTCAGAGCAGCGTGACTCTCTCCTTTACAGCAAAGTCTTAGTTGTTTATTGAGCAAAAACTCATTACTGGATACTGAATGTTTGCTAAGAATTCCTTAAAATTCCTTACCATTTTTTGGAACTTGGCGAATCTTAATTAAGGGACGTTATAAAACTGGGTAGAGAACTTGCTTGCATGTCATAAATAAATAATGACATTACTCAGTAAATGAATTAAGTAATATTTAATTATCAGAAATTACTAAGCTGAGTGAAACTTGGATATTAGCCCTGCACTCTTTCACCTGTTGACTTTGTGTTTATCCATCGCTGGTTCTGTGTTTCCTGTACAAGCTTAGGTTATGGAAAGCGCCATGTAGTTCCTGACAACAGGAAGGAAATTTGTCTTGATATGACCCATCTACTGCCTTGGATATGTGCAGTTACTTACTTATTTTGCCTCTGCCCTTCTCTCCAGCTCCTTACTGCAGCCTCCCACAACCCCCAGCGCACGGACTGATTCTCGGCCAGACTGGTCTGCACCCAGGGAGCACTGTCCGGTTTGGCTGTGACACAGGATACCGTCTCGTTGGCCACAGCGTGGCCACCTGCTCTCAGCACCCTCAAGGCTACTTCCACTGGGACGAAGCAATCCCACTGTGCCAAGGTGAGAAGGAGGCAAATGCGTCCATACAAGGGTCTGCACCCTCTAAGCTCCTTCTCACGCCTGAGTCAGGTGAGGTATTGAGCTAGGGAGGACTAAGTAAAAATGGTGCAAAAATGAAAACCTGTTCTAATTGCCACAGTTCTCTGCTGAGAAAAGACTACCAGCTGCAGGTAGGCAGTGTGAGGTTGTCCCCTTAATACAAGTCCTTGGGAGCAAGTGAGGAAGAAGTGAAGGGAGCAAAGGGTCACTGTCTGGGTAGGGGAGAGAAAGCCGGTCTGTGCATAGGGCTTCCCTTGGAGAAGTATCTGAACGCAGGCACAACCAAGCCTCGATTAAGCACAAGAGAAGCTGTTGTTTGGAGGAATCTGGGGAAGATGTCAGGAACGTGGGGGTCATCCTGACTTTTGGTGGGATGGGGTTTCCTCTAGCATTTCTGGAAGTCCCCTCTTAGGTCTGTGTGTTAGTGGGCGATGAAAGATTTCTCAGGATTCAGATGGTGCCCAGTTTCTGTTGGCTTCGCATAAGATTTAGGCATGTAGTTGTTCTTTCCACATCTCCTCCTAATTAACTGTAATCGTTATGACATACCATACTTAGCACATGGCTCCTTCCAGGCGTGGGAGTAGAGGGGAGGACAGGGCAGCCTGCCCCAAGGGGGTTTGCTTTCAGGCTGTTTTATCTCACTCACTATATTCACTTTCTGATTGCACCTTTTTTTTTTTTTTTCCAATTCAACAATCAGCTGTTTCTTTGTGTTGATAAAATGCCCGTCTTTATTCTGATGAAGACTTTCAGTGTCTTTGAACATTCATCCATGTTCCGAGGGAACTGAGCACTGGGGATTAATATTGCATCGACTTCCCTGGAAACTAGCCAGAGAACAGAGGCAGCGTAGGCAAAATCTTACCCCGCTCTCTGCATTGCTGCCCTGTCCCGCTTTAAGGAAAAGCGGGGTTATTTAGTGTGAGAGTTACCGAAAAATCCCTTTTGTGCTCCTGAATCACTTGGGCCCTTTCGAGAATACACAGGAGAATAAGCAGTTCTACTTCTGAAGGTTTTTTCTTATGATGTGGATGCTTATATCCATTTGGAGCCCTCTCAAGGGTGTGTTTGTATCAAGGTGAATGACAAGAGGTTAAACCAAGCCCCTGTCGCTCAAAGAGCTGTGCCCTTGGCAAGGGGAGCTGGGAAGCCGAGCAGCAGCTCAAGCGGTGCATCAGCTTCGGCAGCAACGCGGGCTGGGGCAGGGGCCGGGGGCCGGAAGGAGCGGCCGGGGAGCGCGTTAGCTCAGGCTGAGCGATTTCTCTCATGTGCTGGATCTTGTATGAGCAAAACCATATCATCCAGCATAGGTAACAACGCGGCAAAGTGTTTGCTGTCCTGGTGTTCCGGACTACCGCCCGAGCCTTGCCTTCTGTCCACGAGCTGCGTTTCCTTGCTGGAGGCAGTGGTGTGCAGGGGGCACACCAAGGCAGAGAGGAGGGGGAATAAGGTCTGGAAACGGTGGCTCCGGCAGTGTTACTGAGCTCAGCCGGAGTCGGGAGGGCCTTGTCCAGCTCCGTGCTGTTGTTTCTCCAGGCCGAAGGGCTCTGTGAGCAGGACTTCCCTCAGGAGCTGCGCAGAAAATGGGAAACGCCTCTCGTGGCGGAGGGGGTAGCCTGGCAAAGCCATCAGCCCGTGCCAAACTCCGGTGCCGGTCCGTGCTGTCTGGCGGTGTATGCAAAGGATGCCAGTAACCAGGGTGGGAGGAAGCGGGAGATCTTCCTCCCAGCTGCGCTCCTCGCTGGGCTCAGCGATGGGGTGCAGAGGCGTGCGGGAGGACGCCGGGGTTTGCCACTAACCCGGGGAAGTGCTCGCCCCTTCCAGCTTCAGGCGCTAGCTTAGCTGGGGAGGTTGTCCAGACGGCCCCCTGCTATAGCCAACAGAGAATTTGGGGACCAAGCGGTAGCATTTCGAGTGGGCTCCGATTTCCCCGCTGGAGGTGTGAGTCTGTCCCCGCTGGCTGCACAAGGAGCAATTCAGACTGAAGCCGGCCGTTGGGAGCACCCCCAGGAAGAGCCTGCCTCGCTCCACTGACTGCCGGGGAACCGGCTGGTGAAGCTGCATCCTGAAGGTGGAGTATCCCCTCTGCGTTCTTGGGAAAGTCACCTGCTCTCTCTGTTTCCCCGTATTTACAACAGGAATCTTAATACTTGCCCATGGTTACCAAGTGCCTGGAGATCCATGGCAGCAGATAACCGAGTAGCAGCAAGGCTGAGTCTGAGAACTGGCAGTGGAGCAGCTCCCCCGCCTGGCCTTGCGGAGGTGGTAGCCCGTGCTGGCTCCCTTCTTGGTGCCCAAATTCAGCCACGTAAAATCCAGCACATCTTTTTTTGCATTGCTTTCTAAGCCAACTGGCAACCTTTTGTTTTGGGCTGTACTCAATTGTTCATCCTTTCCAGTGGCCAGGACCACATGGCAGAGGTCTGGGAATTCAACCCACAACATGAAATAAATTGCTCGTACAATCAGCTGTGTCAGGAGGAAGGGAACTGGGGTCCCCATAAACACATGGTCTAGTTAACAAATGCCATCTCCTGTAGCTCCCCTCTGCCAGCACATAATCCTCCTTCCCTTTCCTGATCCCCTTCAAATAATCTTTATTATGTGCTCAGTCCTAGCTGACATTTATGGAAGCAGCAGAGAATATTCTGCAGGGAACAATCTTGCGTTGGCACAATGGGGGAGAACACAAGATGATCTAATATGCCTTCTCTATCGCTGCTGCCTATTTTTAAGCTGCTTTGTTTTTGGAATCCCAGCTGCAGATTTGCTTTCATGTGGCCTCTGTCTCCTTTCCCAGCACATTTTCTTCCTGCAGACAGAGCTTTCATACCTCTGAACCCCCATAAGCACCTCCTTTTTCCCTGGATCTGACTCTCGGTGGGTCCGTCGTAGCCGAATGTTAATTTTGCCTTTCCCTGAAAACGGCTTTTTTCTTTCATCCCTTCTGATTCCCTTGACTTGTAGTGCCCACAGTTGGAACCTCAGAAAAGCTCTTTAGAGCAGATGACAAGTGTACTGCCACCCCAAAAAGTTAAGCCTCTCTCCTTCATGCTGGGCCCTCTAAATAAAGACTTAATAGTACCACGTTCTGCTCAAGGATGCCAAGTTTGCGAGGAAGGACAGCGTCATGCTGCAGCTTGCAGGGTACCAGAGCCCATGCGGTGCAGCGGTCAGCACTCCCAGTTAGCGCTCTGATTCCTCTTCGTGCTTCAGCCTGACCATCTGCAGGTGAAGAGGGTAATTTTTTTTATTATCATTTTTGGTGGCTTAATGAACTTTTTAGTTAACTGCACCTGGCCTGGATGGTCTGCTTTATTGCTTCCTATCTGGATTATTGCTAACTCTCTTTAGTGTCGGGGCAGGGCTTATGCAAAGGAAAGGCTCCAAATAATCAAACAAACCACTTGACAGGAATGCAAATGGAGCTTGCCCAGGCAGGAGGGCTGACCGACACTAAGTGATCCTACCATCGTGAAGATAGCAAGTTGCACCTAAACCCCACGGACTTGGAGCAAAAGCTGGACTTACTCTGTGTTCATACCTGGTGTCCCAGCCTGTTGGTGTCCGTGCTTCAGTTTCCCTGCTGGCTAATGGCGATAATGAGTTTTGGCTGGTGGCAGAGAATATGCTCAGGCTATACAGCCCTTAGCTCTGTCTGTCCCCCTGGGAAGACTTGGGCCTGTCCTCAGGGGTGCGTGAAAAAGGAAGGAGACGTTTCTTGCTGTCTTTATCAAGAGCTTGCTGGCTTCATGCTTTCTCCACCGGCCTCTGTGCCCAGCTCCACCGGTGGGAACTTCCTCACTGCTCCCTGGGCCCAGAGTCTTTGTGTCCTCTTTCAATGTAGACCTAAGCACCGTGATCTCTGTCTCTCCTTTCTCTCCCTGGCTCCCAGGAGCGGAAGAGAACTGAACAGAGCGGGGGGCAGTGGCCAAGGAAGGGGTCAGCTTTCTTTCCAATCTATTTGATTGAATGTAACATCAAAAAGTTGTAATAATTGTAAGATGACAGTGGAAGAGTAGGACTTTCTGTTGCCTCAGAATGAAATTGGTATTCAGCGTGACTGCTTGTCTAGACACCCAGCCTTGTAGAGAGATTTGCCAAGCTCCTCAGCTGAGTGAAATGACATACATATGATTATCATTTCAACCAGCGATGTGCCCGATCGTGCTAATTTGAGCCTGCTGAATTACTCACACCTATTAGCACCACTCGCATCTGCAAGGGGCTGTGTAATTGTGCTCCGGGCTGGGGCTCCCACCGACTCAAGTACTAGTAATGAGATAAAAGCATCTTGGACCTTTGGTGGTAGAAAGCTCCAGTGGTTGTGCTTAGGCTGCGCCCAGGAAGTTTGGTGTCTCCTTTCAGCACTCAGTGAGGCCCACGTCACTGGAAACCAACTTTCCTAAGGTTGCTGCTTTTCTAACCCTAGTTTGTGTGCAGAGGGACTAACAGGCAGGTGACCAGGTTTTAGAGTATCTGCTTGCGACTCAGGAGATGTAGACTTAACCTCCAGCTCATGTATTAGGTGAGCAGGAACAGCTCTGGCTATTCTAGCAAGGAATGAATTTCCTTTGGAGCGTTTTAAAACTGCAGATAATCGTTTGGATTAGGTGTTGGCCACCAAATCAGCGGTTGCCAATGGGCTCTGCTCATCTCTGTGCCCTGCCTGGCTGGCAGCCCCGCTGGCTGCTGGTCTCGCGGTGGCAGCGTCACGGTGCGCCAGGAGGCCCCTACCCGCTGCCGTCCCGGGCCCGTCTGGGCTGGCGGGCTGCAGGTCTGCAGTCCAAGGGAGATGGGCTTTCCCCAGAGGCGAAACTCACAGAGAGGGGTGGGAACCCACTTGCTGTTTTTGGAGGCGAGTCTGGGTGTAGTTTCCCAGCTCTTGCGAATATTAGCAGAAAAAAACACATTTGGGTGACAGACTCCCAGCGCTGGTTTTCCCAGCGGTAGGAAAGGGGGTAGCAGGGCTCGCAGCGTGTTGTGAAACTCTTGCAGCGCCAGTGAGCCTGCCTGTGGCTCACGTTTCGCTTTCCTGGAGACCTGCCTGCCCTTTCTGCCCTGTTTGGCCGCTCTCCGGGCCACAGGACCCACAGGACGGAGGCTCTCAGCCTCGGCAAACGGTGCAGAGCGGCTTCTCCGAAGTGCTGCCATCTTGAGCGGCCGCTTGGCACTGTGCCTGTTGATATCGGTTCTCCTCTGAACCTCTCCTCTTACCTTCTCATCCGTAATGCTAAATTTAGCCCTGCTTCTGCCACAACGTAATTATACAGTTTGCTGCCTTATGTAATCCAGAAGTGCTGCTGGAGAGCGTTTTTAGACTGTTGCTGCTGTGAGATGTAAATACAAAACATTATTGCTATCTGTTTCTTTATCTCTGTGTGAAAAGTTGTGAATACTGAGTTGATTTTGTATTATAGATATTTAGAAAACAAGAGCCAGAGTCTCTTCCAGTAGAAGCTGGTGTTCGCTGTTGGCTTTGCTGTTGCCACGCTGATAGATAGGAGCTGCAGATCTGATCCTGTCTTTGAAAGTGGGCATTCATTGCAGCATCTGAGGCTCAGTAGGGTGCTGGAGCTTTCCTAAATAGCAGAGCTTGAGATCTGGGGTTTTGGCTTACTTACTGCAGATCTGTGATAAAACTGGAAGCCGACTTTGATTTTCTTGGCTGTGTTTTTTTCCACTCCTCCTTCGCAGCTGTCTCCTGTGGAGTTCCCAGAGCCCCAGAGAACGGTGTCGTCTTTGGCAAGGAGTACACCGTGGGCACCAAGGCCGTGTACCACTGCAACCAGGGCTTCCACCTGCAGCCCGGCGAGGAGCCCACCGCCGAGTGCCTGCATGCTGGGCACTGGAGCAACGGCAACGAGCCCCCGCGCTGCGTCGGTGAGCGTTGGCAGCCAGCTCAGTCCCCCGGGGAATTCAGAGGGTCCCGTCAGTAAGGTCTCCCTGCTCTAGGGGAGACCGCTCTGCCTCACAGGTGGAATATTCAGGGCACCAGGTTTCAAATCCTGCGTAGCGTGGGTACGATGCCCTCTCTCGTAGTGCCTTGGTTTCCCACCCGTAAAGTGGAGGTGCTAACACTGGTCCCTTTGTTGAAAAGCCATCGCTCTTGCTGAAACATCCACGTGCCCTGTAGTTAAATCGTCTGTTAACTCCTCTGCGTCTCATTTCTTTTCCCCGACTCGCCACGTTTGGATTTTAGCTGTCACCTGTCCCGATATCAACAGCATTGCAGTCGAGCACGGTCGGTGGCGGTTGACCTACGAGATCCAGTACCACTACAACGCCCAGCTCATGCTTATCTGTGACCCTGGCTACTACTACACAGGCCAGCGGGTCATCAGGTGCCAAGCCAACGGCAAGTGGAGCGTAGGCGAGCCGATGCCGACCTGCAAAAGTAAGAGCTGTGCATCTCCGGACCTGGCCGGGGCAGAGCAGCTGCCCTGGCTGTCTCGGGGCGAGGAGGGGACGGCTTCTGTTTTCCATTCAGCATGTGCGTGAGCTCTGTTGGTTGCGGGCAAAGGCACCGCAGCCCTGGCTGCTCTCGGCAGCAGCTGAGAGCATGGCTGCAGAGTTGCTCTGGTAGAAGAGAGTTTGGATGAAGGGAGAGGTCGTATGTTGATCTGGTGCTTGGTTTAATCTAAACACTTCTGGAAGAACTCGAGCACATTTGCTCATCTGTTGCTGTCAACGTCCCAGCAGCTTAGCTGTCACTGTTGCCAGCTGCTCTGAAGTTTGCTTTTAAGAAATAAAATATTCCAATTTAAAACCTAACCTCTTCCCATCTGACGCAAACGCCAAGTTTATGAGGGTAACGGTGTCACCTGTAAATCCAAAACGCTCTTGGCAGACAAGCAGCCCTCAGTCACTCTGACATGGCTGCTGTGCTTTGGATGTTTTCTGTTGTCAAAGTTGAGGGAGTTTCTCTCTAAGCACAGAGAGAGTCAGAAAAATTTCTCCTTTGGAATGGCAGCGTTCCCTTCCCTCCTGGCTCCCTTTGCTTCTAGAGATGCCGCTGCCGACTTCAGTGACAGATGTAGTTTTACCCCTGCTAGCTCTGCAGCCAGTTCCGGGAGCGTGAGCCTGACCCCATTTTATTTCTTCGGCATTATTGCCTCCTAAATTCAAATGACAGAAACTTGGCAATGCACTAAGGTCAAAAGGACCCAGTGTGAGTCTCTGATTTCTTGCTGAGTTTGAAAGCTCCGGAGGGTTTGCAGATCTGTAAGGTAAGTTAAATAAAGAGCTGAACTTTGCGGCTGCCAGCTCTGTTCGCAAGGGCTCCTGGGCAAACTCCCGCTACACCCTACAAAGCAGGGGAATTTGGATCCCCAGGCTTTCAGCTGGGTGTCTTCTGTGGATCTGCTCTGGAGACTTGAGCTCCGTCCTGGAAGTCATTGTGTGAGAATAAGCACAGAAGTCCCTGGTGTCACTTTCTTATAAGAAAGCACCCTGTAATTCTGTGTCGTTTTATAGCTTTTCTGTAAATCAGTCTTCCCAGCTGTACCAATCAATAATAATAGAAATGGGTTAATAATAGAAATATTCCTATGTATAGAAGTTTCTTCCTAGCCAAATCTCATCTTTAGTACATCCCTCATGTCCTGAAGCATAAATATTAATAGCAGTTATATTTGTCACCTCACGCAATATGACTGTGAATAGTTCTAATTGTCTCTGCAACTATTAAATAATCTTTCCTACTCATTTCTGACTTCAGTAGTAACTTGTGAGGAGGATTTTCATTGACTGCATTTCATTCAAAAATGAATCTCCGTGCCTATTTGCTCTCACTGTACTTTGGGATCTCTTCTAGTTATCTCTTGCGGAGACCTGCCAGTTCCACCTAATGGGAACAAGATTGGCACATTGACCAGCTATGGCGCTACAGCCATCTTCTCGTGCAACATCGGCTACACCCTGGTAGGGTCCCGTGTGCGGGAGTGCATGGCGAATGGACTTTGGAGTGGAGCAGAGGTGAAATGTCTGGGTAGGTGTTGGAGCATCCATGATGTGGTGAGGAATTTCAGGAGGGAATAGGAAATTTAGATCCTAATTCAAGAAGGAACCCTGGCAAGGACTTAGTGCTACTGACGTAGGTGTTTGAGTGGATATAAAAAGGAAGCAGACTGTGATTCTGTGGTGTGCAATAGAGGTAAAGCATTTTGAGATTGGAGGGGAAAGCTTTAAAAATGATAAGTTGTTTTTATTGCTGCTGTGATTTTATTTATTACTGCAGAGACTCAAACTCAGATCCCTGCAGACAGTCAGGTCGGTTTGCGATGGCTTCAGGAAGAGCAGGCACACACCCTGAATGATGGGTCTTGTCTCTCCCTCCTGCAGCGGGGCACTGCGGAGTTCCCAGTCCCATCGTCAACGGGCTGATCAATGGTGAGAACTACAACTACCGGGGCAGTGTGGTTTATCAGTGTAACCCCGGCTTCCGCCTGATTGGGATGTCTGTGAGGATCTGCCAGCAGGACCACCACTGGTCTGGAAAGACGCCTGTCTGTGTGCGTAAGTATGTTGTCAGATTTCTTTAGCCCCAGTTACGGTTAGAGGACGAGCACGTACAAAGATCACTGTCTCCTCCTAGGAGTTCAGAGTTTCCTGAGGGAAAAAGTCATGTAAGCAAGGAAAAACTGGAGTAGGGGAATGGATGGTCACTCCAGGTTTTCACCCAGCTAAGAAGTGATTGCCCCAGTAGCTGCCTATTGTCTCAGAAGGGTGGGTGGGAAGAAAGCTCAGCTTTATTTGTAGCTTCTTTGTCAGAAATATCTGCTGCCCAAATGGATGCTGGCCAGGTGACAGCCGCAGCTAAGATAGCCTTGAGTCCTTCCCCTTCAGCCTAGCGGGGAGCTGGTAGTTGTCTGCTCCATACCAGCGTGTGTCTGCATAACCAGACAGGAGTTTCTGGCACTGGTAAAATCTGCTCAAAGGCCAGTTGCAAAGGCAGAGATGAGGGAGGGGGAGGAATGCAGTCAGGTTTCCAGAAGTGCCATGAATTGGACATGAGTCTGTTAATTCTCGGGCAGTCCAAAGATGAGGCAGGTTTGAACTGTCCTGCTGGGTTTCTAATGGATGAGCCTGATTGCAGTTGTAGTTCCTGAGGAGGGTTTGTCAGGGAGCAGGGAGGACAAAGGCAGACACCGTCCCTCGCCATCCCCACCACTGTGGCCCACGTTCGGTGCCAGAGGAAAGTCAGTCTCCCCCTTCCTGTGATGGACGTTCACAAGTCACCTTGCACAACGTACTCGTTTATCTTTCTGGTAAATAAGCTAATTAAATAAGTCTCTAGCGTTCTAACTAAGGTGCTAATAAGTTTAAACATCATCTTATCAATAAACAGGGCAGCCCACGTATTTCATATCATGATTTTCCAGTTGTTTGCTTCCAGCCTCACCTGCATGGGTTATGGCTTCACCTGCTGAGGCACAATATTCGCAGCAAGATATGAAATAGGAAATGACCTGTAAATCATTCCAGCCTAAAAATAAGAAATAGACTCAAGCTGAAAAGATTAGCAGTGGCTCCAAAAATTAAAGTGTTCATGTCTAGGATTTTGTATGAGGTTTTGAGGAAAATAAGAGTTACAGAAAGTCTGTCTCTGATTCAAATTTGAATTACTCCAATGTCTGAGGATGCTCAATTGAAAAACTTTTAATTCATATTTACCAGCCAAGTTACATATGCAGCAACCTTGATCCAGGAAGTCCTAACTGGTAGAAGTCCTGCTGCTGCCAAGCAGCTTCACAGAAACGCAGGATTTCTTCAAGACCCATTTTCATGGATCACCCGGTTCCTTTCAGGAGGGACCAAACCCGTCAGAACAAAGCAGACGACCGTTGCTTGTCTGCGTGTGTCTACTGACCGCCGATCCGCCGTCCCGTGCAGGGCTCGAGCGCGCTGCGTTTGTCCATTGCAGCTTTGTGCAGCCCTCCAGCTCTGGCAACTAAATGCTTTTGTGTGATGCTTCTGTAAAGGTGTCTCACATTCGGAAGTCAGCCTTGAAATTATTACACTGTATATCAGGTCTCGCGGGTAACATAAATTGAATGTCATTAAAGCAGAGCACTGTTGGGCTCTGAAATTAGATGTCTTGAGGCCTTATTGTTTCTGGAGAAGCTCAGGGCACTCCATTATCACATTATAATTTCCTATTGTCCTGATATTTTCTCTTTATACCGATGCAATTGCTTGCTCTACATAAACTGGCCTTTCTGATCCATACCAACTAGGGAAAGCCTTTTCTTTCTGGGAAAGAATCCGTCTCCTGTTTCAAAGTGTGTATGATATTCAGGAGTGTCATATTCTGGAGTACCTCAGAGAATTGGATGTTGTTTCCTATAGCACTAGGAGGCTATCTTGCTTCATATTTTTAGGCCTGTACCTGTCACCAGCTTGCATCAGAAATAAATTTCTTTCCCCGTGGTATAGTCCAGCCCTGGCAGTCAAATGCATTATGGATCTTTAGTGGGAATTTCATGTTCCCCTTTAGCTTCCAGCTTTGGCAGCTGTTCAGCTAAACTGCTGGACTTCTACTGGTGGACCATTACCCTGTTTCAGCGTGACAGTAATCAGTGTTGCCTTGTCCTCAGGTGTCAGAAGATGTCACGTTCCTTAAGTAGCCAAAAGCTCCTTATGGAATATCCTGATGTTTCTTTTGCACAGGGGGACATGCTGTGCTCTAAAGCAACGTTTCCAGACTTTACTAATAGCAGAAGTCTCACAAGGGTTTTATCCACCCTTCCAGACTTACCTCTGCTAAGGTGCCAAGAGGGTGACCAGGCAAACATGCTTTTGATGTCAGAGCTCCCTGTGCTTCCTGCTGCTCCGTCCTTCGCCCCTGCAGCTTCCGCGCCCCAGGGAATTGTCAGAGTGGCTCCAACCCGGCCCATTAGCCCCTTACCTCTGCTCTGGCGTGGGCTAACGTCAGCCACAGGGAAAAGAACTATGCAAAAAACCTCATTACAGAGGGTTAGGAATAAAGGTTTTCCCCCTGAAGTTTTTCAACCTGAAAGCAGGAAGATTTAAGCATCTTAGACTATATATTAGAAACCCAATTTTTCCTCATACTTTTTTCTCTTTTACCTCCTTTCTCTCCAGGTGTAGCTTTATCCTGCAGTGAGCATATATCTGACGTAAACCAGGGAGGGGGAGAAAAACCTCAGGTTTCATGGCTTTGTGTGTGACGCCCAGGGCAGTGTAAGGCAACAGATTAATAGCAATAGCTGGGGTTGTTGAAGAGGCGCTCTGGGTATTTACAGTACAAGTCAGGAGGATGCTGGCACTCAGCTGCTTAGAAAGTGTTCCAGAGAATTTCTCATGCTTGTAAAATGAACACAGGTACCATATCCTCAGCTTGGTTCAGTATTTCAACAGATCTGGCCAGAGATCTTTGAAGTCAGTGTGGGTCTCAGGGTTGTTGTGGGTTCCTTGATGGTCTCCTTCCTTGAGAACTTTTTCCAGCTTGGACAATCCATTTTTTTCCAGGCAAAGAGGTAACATCTCCAATTTCTAATTGTAGCCATCACTTGTGGCCACCCCGGCAATCCTGCCAATGGCTTGACACAAGGGAGTCAGTTCAATCTGAATGACGTGGCCAAGTTTGTATGTAACACTGGATACCACCTGGAAGGAGCCTCCCAGTCCCAGTGCTTGGCCAACGGACAGTGGAGCAGCTCGCTGCCCGCCTGCCGCGGTAAGTCGTCTGCCTCGACCCCTCTGCCACTGCTGCAGCCTGGAAATCCTGGGCGCCTTAGGCTGAGGAGGGCCTGAGGATCAGAAACCCCTCAGCTGTGTCACTCACCAGGGCTGATGTACAGGCAAGCATCCTGATGCATCGTCTTCAGGAAGATGTAGTGGTGGGTGAGTGTTGCTGCCAGGACAGATAGCAGAGCTAAGCCCCATGCTGGCTCAGAAGTGGAGCAGTTAGCCTCCCCCTCCATGGGTATGAGAAGGGTTCAGTGTCCTGTGGCAAGGTGACTTAATAGTATTTGCTGAGTGTTGCAAGCTGAGATTTGGCCCAGGAAGGAGTCCTTGCAGATCACAGTCTGTGTTTTTCCCGCTCTGTCAGTGGGAGCTAGTTATGGCCAGGGAGGGAGAGGAGGGGAACACAAATGTCAAGGGGAGCACAGAGCAAGCCTGGTGCTGGATTTTGCTGCTGAACAAGTAAGGAAACCGTGCCATTTAATCTAGACAGATCTGACTTTGTTTATCTCTGTGCCTTCCTCTTCAGTTACTCTGGGCTCCTGAAATGCAGCTTGACACTGTCATAAATTTACATAAAACCAATCTTGCAGTTCATCAGGAACGTACAAGTGATGTTTGAACTCTGAGGGCCTATTTAAATCTCAAGTAATAAATCTGTTATCCCTTTGTCATCCTGCCCCGCTCACTCCAGGAGGCAGGTGGTTTCCCCCAGCGCTGTTAGAAAGCCCTGCCCAGCCCCACATCTTCCAAGACATTGAGCTATTTGTTGTAGGTGGGGAGGACACAAGAGAATATCAGGCCAGACCCTTAGTAGGGGTCATTCTGGTAGCCCAGAGCAGTTTGGTCACGACAAACGTCGGTGCTCCTAGCTGCAGAGCCTCTCCTCCTCCTAGGCTGCCCTACTTCCATTGATATTAGCGCTCAAGTTCACTTATCGCATTTCTCTCCTCTCTGTGCACTCCCTTCTTCTGTATTCCCGAAATCCAGTATCTCTGGCAGGACTGTTGCTATGTCTGTCAGGAAACCGGCTCTCTTCAACGTGCTAATGTAAGGCCCAGTCCTGCAACCGGGCCAGAGAGCAAGGCTCTGCTCCTGAGGCTTGCATGGTAGAATGAGAGCCTGCAGGATTGCCTCTGCTCTCTCTTTTATCTTTTAATAATTTTTATTCTATTTCTGCCCTAAAGAACGTTTTAAAAAAAAAAAAAAAGATTAAAAAAGGAAACTGTGGAACATGTGACTTGCAATTTTTTCCCCTTTTCCTGCTCGTTTTTTACAGAATCCTTTGTTACACCCTTTGTTTTGTATTTTTTTGTCGTTTGTTTGCAGTTGTAAACTGTACTGACCCTGGGCACCTGGAAAACAGCATCCGTCAAGTGCAGCCAAGCGGTCCTCACAGATTCAGCTTTGGAACAACTGTCTCGTATCAGTGCAGCCATGGATATTACTTACTGGGTACCCATGTACTTACCTGTCAGGGGGATGGCACTTGGGACCGTGCCCTCCCGCAGTGTCTTTGTAAGTTCTTTAGAATAATGCCCATTTGGTCCGGGTGTTATTAAAGAGCTGTACTCCACTAGTCCAGCACAGGTTTTCCTCCCGTGTGGTTCTCTGTCGTTTATTTAGCTGAGTGATCGTGTCAAAACTCTGGATCCCAAGCCCTTTGTAGTCAATAGGAATCTTTCCATCTGCTTCACTGGCCTCTGGATCCTGCCCACAGAGGGAAAATATGTGGTCTGAGGAGAGAAATCATATTAGACAGGGATCGTTTCGCTCTCCAGGGAAAGGCAGCCCACCTCGGAGTTTTCCTGGTTCCGTTTGGCTCCGGAAAGCGCTGCAGGTAGAGAAGGGAAGTGTCACTCCCGCGACAGAGGCCTTCCTGGGAAGGCAGCGTGCAATTAGGCTGGCCAAGGCCCCGGCATGTTTAGCCCCACGAGGCTAAAGCTCAGCTTGGGTACACCCACTTGCCCCCAGGGCTTGGAGGAGGGAAACAGCCGTGCGGTGCTGAAGTAAACACAGCCTTTATTCTGCTGCAAGGCAGATGTTGAAAGAGGATTTGCCTTTTGACTCTTGCTCTGTATTTTTCCCCTTTCTTAAAGTATCCTGGTGCTTTCTGCCGTGGGGGTTTGCAGAGATGCGTAATTAAGGGCTCAGCAGAGAGTATTGGGAGGTTCTGGGCAGTGACTTGGCTTAAGGAAGCAGCTGTGTCTGTGGTTTGGAGGTGATGTACCCTGCTGCAGGGAGCTCTTCAAAACAACTGTCCTTGTTCGTAGAGTCGGTGACGTGCCGTGGCAATACATATATACACCCACACTGCCCAAATATAGAAGCTCTTTTTTGTCTTTTCAGCCTGGCATGGCACAGCTGTACTGCTGCGTAGTACATGCCCCGAAGTGCCTGTTCTTGCTTCTGGGTGCAGATGTGCCTTTCTGCCCAGGTGCAGGATCTGTGATCCCAGCCCATCAAACTCAAAGATGGAGCTTTAGAAACATGGAAATGGAGCCCTGAACAGATGCATAATTTATGAAACCACTATCAGATTTCCACTAGCGCAGCTGAGATACAGGAGCAAAGTTAGAAAGTGGAGCGCGCTGTAGAAAGGCACATTTCCAGTAACATCCAAGTTACAGGCCTGAAGTAGTTTACGTTTTAGGGAGGTTACATCTTCCTATTTATTAGACCAGAGATTGAAATGCTGTAGAAGACCTATGCCTAGAAAGGCACAAAATACTCCTGCTGGTCATACATAGTAGTGGCAATGCCTTATCCGGGAGATATTTCTCCAAGCATTTTATGAAAGAGCCTCGGCTCTCCATTGACGTTAGCAGCCAGTGGAGAGCCTCGGCTCTCTTGGCGCTAGAGAGCAGGACAGAGATGACACCCACGAGTCCAAGTTTTATCAAAACATCTTGGTAGTCTTTCCTGGAAACAGATACCCTCCTGGAGGAACAGAAGGTGTTTGGCAGGGTTTAGTGTTGAGAGAAAGCACAAAAGAAAAACAGCAACTAGAACGGAGACGCGTCTACTGGGTTTTGTGCTTGTGTGCTAAAGCGAGTGAGATCTCTTGTTACCTGGCATAACAAATCTCTTGAGCAGTCAGAAATGAAGATCCTCAAGTTCAGATCAGCTGAGCTGTTCCAAAACCATGATTGTTTCTTTATTTCTTTTGTTATCCTTCCACGCCTAGTCATAAACAGTAGGTTTTGGCACATTTTCCTTTCCTTTTGTTAGCAGCATGCCACCTTCTTGCGTTTACAGCACCCTGCACAGGCCATGGGGAACTGACAAGTGATAACTGCATATTAAAGCAGCCGCAGGGACTCCAAGGGAGTAGTTGCCTTTTAAAACCTAGGAGCCCAATGTCTCAGGCTCTTTCAGTCCACAGCTATTCAGGTAAATAAGCGTTCTCCTTCTTTGAGATGTTGAGCTTCTGTTGACTTGGAGGATTTGTGGGCGTTCTCAAAACTCTGGAAGATCAGGTCAGTTTTACAACTGATTCATGGGCTGGATTCATGGGCGTACGATTTCAAAAAAACGTAAGAGATTTTTGCATGTCTGTTTTCTGTGTGCTGAACCTAGGATGTGCCCAGTGCTTTCTGAAACCCACATCCCTTTAAAGTGCTTATAACTGGGTACTTAAAATCACAAGGTACTTTCTAAAACGTGAGCCGGGAAGCTTAATGCCAGGCAATCTTGGTTTGAAAACGTTGTCTAATGAGTGTTTTTGAGGAGGGACTAAAAAAGAATTGATATCCTTGGGGGTGAGGGGAGTGATTCAAATTAATAAAGTACATGGGAGCAGAGCCTAGCACATCAGAGGAAATAGTCTTCACACAGGGTACATAAATCCTTTAAAAACCTCAGCACTGGCACAGATTTTAAGCTTAGCTGTGTCTGCTGGAGTATCAGTTATTAAATCGTTAGTTACAGCATGAGTTTAAGTAGCAGCTATCAAACCCATTTCTTTAGAAAGCGTCCTTGGTTTTAGTCACAGCTCTGTACCAGTGTATTTCACCGCCCACATGCCCAAGCAGACGCGTGCTCTCCTTTTTATTGAAACATACATCATGGATTCCACCTAATGTCAGCATTTGTATTTTTAGAATATAGCGGAGGGAGAGAACGTAGCCGTTATGGGCGCTTTCCTCCAAAACTGCATGGTACATGGTCTTTACCCTGAGAATCCTCATCCAAACTTCATATTCCCTAGAGCTGTCGGGGTATTTGTCAACACCCTCACTGTCACCACTCTGATTGCTAAGCTAAAATAAACCAATTAATTATTGTTAGCCGTATGTTTTTACCAGCGATGGACGGGTGAGCAGTGTTCACAAACCGCCAGATGAATTTGCTGAGCTGGGAGGTGTCATCGATTACAGAGTGAGTTTTCCAAGGAGCTGCCTAATGCCTGTCCGTGTCAGGACTACGCGTTTATGCACAAACCCAGCCTCAACCCTTGGCAGCTCCTACGGGACCAGCTCATGTCCCCGGGGAGGAGAGCGAGGCAAGGTGTGCTGCGCCGCACCGGAGCCCGGGGGTGGTCCCAGGGCCAGTCTGACCGGGATGCTGGGGCACGCTCCAGTTAGCGCCCTCAAACACGCAGTGCTTTGCTGCTGTACCTGCTGTATCACCTGTTGTGCCCAAAGCCTTTGTCCTTGTCTCTTTGCAGTGGTCTCTTGCGGCCACCCCGGCTCGCCGCCCCACGCCCAGATCTCGGGCGACAAGTACACCGTGGGCTCTGTGGTCCGGTACAGCTGCCTCGGGAAGAGGACTCTGATCGGCAACTCCACTCGCATGTGCCAGCTCGACGGGCGCTGGAGCGGCTCCCCCCCCCACCGCTCAGGTAAGCTGGGCCCGGGTGACCGGGGGAAGGAGTATAGTACTGGTTGGGTCCTCCACTACCACTTTCTATCTTGCAAGGGGGCAGCCTGATGGGCTTTAGCTGAGCTGGAGAAATGCACAGGCTACAGAGGGTGAGCTGGGATCATGGAAGACTCCAAAAATAGCAGTATCTCAGCTGTCCAGTCTCCTACATCTGGAATGATAAGCGCTGTTAGAGACTAAACCATTTAGCTTACAAGAAGACGAATAAATCACTGTAGCAATTGCTTGTGGCAGGAGGGGTACTGCAGCCTGCTGCTTTACAGTTCTCTCCTTGCAGAGACTGTTCAGGGCAAAAGCATCTTAAACAGAAGCAGGAACTCGCATCCTAACCGCAGCATCTGACCCTCTTTCTAAAGCGTTCCAGTACGCGTGGCCCCTTCCCAGGGCCTGCTATCTGCTATTACGGCACCGTTGCCATCCCAGACCTGCACGAGGCAGGTGGAGGCTGGTAACATGGGTTTCCGTGTCGTCAGCACCTCCACTGCAAGCAGATTGGCAGAAGAGCTCAGTCCCTGCTCGCATGCTAAAGCAAGAAAGGTTCTTGCACTGAAAATGTCCTAATCAGCAAAAATATCTCTGATGAGATGGACTTGGGTCAGGGGCACAGGGATACAATGCGGTGTACTTGCCAGGCCTTCCTGAAGTCAGGGTGCTGGGGTCTCAGTTGATGGCCTGCAGTGGAAGCAGTGGTGCAGCATAAGCAGTGGTGCCCTCCCCATGCCGTCCTCTCACTTGTTCCTTGGAGAGCATGAATGCAGATGAAATGAGGAAGTAGCTGGAGCAAAGCAGTTGGGACAAGTGTTAATTTTTAATTATGCCAGTTAGATTTAGCAGCTGCACTTGACCAAGTTTAACCTCTGCTTTAAAAGGGAAAAAGAAATCAGATGGAGTCATCCTCGCATTTGGAAGCTGTCTCTAGAGAGCGGAGTTCTTGATCTGTAGTCTCTTGGAAAGGTTTTCTGCTCTAATCCATGCTCTTTTGCTGTGTGGTTTCTCACTTCTCTCATGCCATCTTTTGGGGTGGATTTTTTGGAAACAGTCAGCGTTAGTATGACTAGTTCCAGCTGGACACGTATTATGTGGGATTTTTCTGATTGACTTCCTGGGGCAGCTTTAGACCAGTGCTGGTTGCATTTGACAGTCACTCTCTGATTTGGGGCCAGGTGAGTGCCCAGAGCCTCAGAGCCATAATTTCCAGACAAGGGCTGGGGAAGGGCTCCTATTTTACACTGAACTCGGGTGGTGCCGTTTCAGAAGCAATGAAGAATGAAGCCTTTAGTCATGTTCCTCTGCTTTACTTGCAGCGAGAACACAAAACTCTAGCCAAGAGCCTGATTCCCCATTTCTTCCTCTAGTACATGCCCTCCCTGGGGCCTGGAGCGGGAACCAGCAAAGGCCTGTGTTGCCTGCTCTGGCTCTTGCACAGAGCAAGTTCCTCAAGGCCGTTTCTGCAACCCAGAGTGGAGGTTGGGGGCAGAACACAGGTCACGTCGTCTCCTGCCAGAGATTTTCTGTTACGTGCAGAAGATCCCCGTGGTGTGACAGCAGCCTTAGCAAGACGGAACAAAAGACTTTGGAATAAGTCGTCACGTGAAGGAAAAAGCAGAGCCTGGAGCATTCTCCCACTCCTCTTTAAAAACAAGTCTTTTCCCTAGATGATGAATATATTCATTATATTTTATATTACACACAACACTGCAAAGGCTGTTCCTGCAGCAAAGCACAGAAGGCCCAGGAGCTGAGGGCTTCATTGCTAGCTGCAGGAGTGAACTAGTCTTTCCTGGCTTAGGGTTGGATGTGTTTACACAGATCATTAACAGAAAGCCAAGAACAGGCGTACACGGTGTGAGCCTGAGTCAGGCTGTACTGAGGTGGGCATTTCTCCAACCTGCTCCAGAGAACCCCTGCGAGGCATCCTTTATAGCTGCTCCATTCCTTGTGTCCCCCGAACTTCCAGCCAGCAGCTTGGGGTGCTCACAACTTGTACAAGCACATGTTTCTCAGCTGGATTCCTATTGCTTCTGTGCTCTAAAGCCAAGTTTCTTGCTCTGCAAAAACAAGAGGGCTTGCTGAGGTGGTTTGGAGGATGTCGTAATTTCCGCTTGGAGGGAAACGATCCATGTGACTGATACTGGCAACCAAGCTGCTTGCTGCCAGAGCAGCTGCCACAGAAGGCTGGTAAGGTCTCCATCTTGAGATTCAGGAGTTACAGCCATGTTTTGCAGTTGATTTGCAAACAGTGTTCTTCCCAAGTCAGGAGGTATTTCATGCGGAATTTCCCCTCTCCGCTGAAAGCCAGACGGAGAGTTACATTGGTAGTTGGTCACGCGATCCGTGTCTATGTGCTGGTCCTCTCAATGTGCACAATTCAGAGGGAAGACCAACTGAGCCCCAAGAATCGCTCACTGTGATGATATTCTGCTCTCTTCTTAACAGGAGGCAGCCAAGGCGTATGTGGGGACCCAGGGATCCCTTCTCACGGCATTGGGCTGGGAGATGAGTTTGATGTAGACGGCATGGTCCGGTTCAGCTGTGAGCCGGGTTACACGCTCCGAGGTTCGTCCGAGAGGATCTGCCAAGCCAATGGCTCCTGGAGTGGCACGCAGCCAGAATGCGAAGGTACTTTTCCAATCCTGCATCCTTTCCTCAGTCCTGCCAAGGCTGCCGTAGATATCCCCAGGATACCACGGCAGAGAGGGCTCGCAGCCAGCCCGTCCCCTCTGCTTTAGTTGCCAGTCTGGTGCTGCAAGAGGTATGCTCTGGTTCCAGCATTTCCTCCAAATCTTCCGTGCGTATCAGGGAGCCCCAGTTCTCCGCTTGCCAAACATCTGCAGGTTGCATCTCACAGGGGAGTTTTTTGCAGTGCTAAGGGTCAAAATCCCCTTTGTCTGTGCCCAGCTCTGCTCTGCCACACAAGGTGTACCTGGATGGTGTAGAGGGTCTCGGGTCATTTGGGTTGATGCGAATGTGTGGATGGGAGGCATAGAGTGGGAAGAGAGCCACTGGTCCTCACTTCCATTTGTCCCCAGAGCATTGTTTCTGCAGGCTCAGTGCAGGAGTCATGGAGAAGGGATATCTCATGGCCTGCACCACACATCCAGCTAGGTGATCAGAAGCGGCCGCTTTCAGCTTCAGATTGCTAGGTCCACTACCACTGACTAATTAATTGTTGCTTTGTAGAGGTAATGCAGCAGAAATTTCCACAGCCTCAGACCTCTGTTAAAGCTGGAACTGGCACACACTGCAGTCATTTACATTAAGCAGAAATGCAAAATGCGAATTAAAATCCAATAAGCATGTTTTTATATTAAGAACCAACAAAAAACCCCCAAAGACCCTTATTTTTCTGTTTGAAGGAATCAAGTAAGACCCCATAACGCAACCTAATAACCCCCCCGCCAGATTTTCTGAGCCGCACTGCTCACTGCTGCTGGTTTATAGAAGTGTTTAAAAATCAATTGGAGAAGGAACAAAAGCCCAAAACGAGGCAGAAAACGAAATGCAAGGAGACCTGGGCAAGCACTTCTCTCCAGCTGATTCGAAAGCCAGAAGCTCAGAGAGTTTGTAAATGAATTGGAAATTTATTCCAAATTGGTGGAGCTCTTGATTGAAAAGACACTGAATCATGTTATTAATACACGCAAGTCTTAGTTTTCGTCATTCTCTGCTTTTCTTTTGGTAGAAAGGCTCTGTTCATTAATCTCGGGATAAATAACCCACCAGATTCCAGAGGTACCAAAATACAGAACCCAGCAGATTTTTTTTCTTCGTACTTTATGAATAATAATAACATTATGCCTATAATGTAGTCGTTTAATGTTAAGCGCTGACTGGCCAATATAGGAAAGTAATTTGCAGTGATGAGCAGTGTGCTGTCTCTCTCATTTGTATTCACAGCAAGTCGCAAACACTACAAGGCGTTCTTATGCCTGCGCTCTGAGTGCAGTCATATTCAACTTTCTGGAACAGGTATTTATAGCGGGGAGGATTAATTCAGGGAGTGCATTCAGGGCAAATGAAAATGAGGGCTGATTGCCCAGGCAGGTGCTGCGCAGCTCCCGCGCGCCAGCTCTCCTCGTGCCAGCCGGAGCAGGGCAGCCGGCGTGCCGCAGCCCTGCACTGCGGCGTCCCCTCTGTACAGCTCTCCCTCCAGTCTGGGTGCAACCCGTGGGCTGAGTTCGTCAGATCCTTTCTGTGAACATGACTCAGTCTGAGGGGGAAGAAAACGCCAAAATCTACTGGAACAGGATGTCACCCTTTACCTATCGGAAAAGTCTAGGGAAGCAGAGAAGGAAGGGTGAGGGAGACGGGTTAGCAGGCCCTGTTTTCGTATCTCTGCCTTGTTGATACCTGGTGACTGAAGCTCTCCGGAGCATGCTGCGTGGATCAGAGTGATTAGCGTGGGCCATATCCCCAAATCAAGCTAAACATGTTACAAAACCTGCTCATTTCT